TACCGTCTATGGCTATCACTGGAGCTGAGAGCCAGCTCCAGTTCTGAGGCCCTGGCTGGCTGAAAGCAGGTATCTCGATTTGTTTACCTTCTATAATTGAAACTTTGTTGCCATCACTGGTGCTGATAGCCGGCTAAGTTCTGTGGCCACTGCCAGCTCAAAGCAGGTATCTGGGGTTTGTTTAGCTTCTATAATTGAAACTTTGTTGCTTTCGGAGCTCAGAGCCGTGCCGTGGCAGGCAGGAACCTTGGCTTCCTCCATCACTGGAGCAAGCAAGCCTCCTTCTCACTTCAGCTGTGTGGCTGCTGGCTGCCATCTTGATTGGCGGTTAATTTGCATATCACCCTGATTAGCCAATGGGAAGCATAACGAAGGTACAGTCAATTACCTTTTTGTCTTTTATTAGATTAGACTAGAGGCCTGGTGCATGAAATTTGTGCATGGGGAGGGGGTCCCTCTGCCCAGCCTGCACCCTCTCCAATCCAGGACCCCTCGGGGGATGTCCGACTGGTTTAGGCCTGCAGGTATCGGGCCTAAACTGGCAGTTGGACATCCCTCTCACAATCTGGGACTGCTGGCTCCTAACTGCTTGCCTGCCTGTCTGCCTGATTGCCCCTAACTGCCTCTGCCTCAGCCCCCACCACTGTGGCTTTGTCTGGAAAGATGTCTGGTCTAATTAGCATATTGCCCTTTTATTGGTATAGACTAGTAGATTTTTTAGAGAGAGATGGGCAGGGATAGTTAGAAACATTTATGAGAGAGGAACATTGATCAGCTGCCTCCTGCACATTCCCTACTGGGGATCAAGACTGCAACCCAGGCTTGTGCCCTGGCTGGAAATGGAACCAGGGACCTCTTGGTTCATGGGTTAACACTCAACCACTGAGTCATCCTGACCAGGCTGAAGAGCTTTTTTAGTAAAAAGTTGAGAACCAAGAGAGTTGAGTTATGCAAGAAAGTAAAAGGAATCTTGTACTTAAGGAGACTGCTGGGATTGAGAAGCAAATACAGAGCAATAGGAAGAGATTTAAGACATAATCAGTGAGCTCTGGTAAGTGTGGCTCAGTTGGTTGGGCATCATCCCATGCACCAAAATGTTGCTGGTTTGATTCCTGGTCAGAGCATATGCCTGGGTTGCAGGCTGGATCCCGCCTAGGGGTGAGGCAACCCATCAATGTTTCCCTCTCTCTCTCTCCCTCCCTCTCTAAAAAATTAATAATAATAATAAAAGACATAATTAGTGAGAAATTCCCCAAGATTTCAATGGCCAACATTTTTAGAAAAAGTAATATCTGACATTGAATTTAAGGTTATTTCCTCTAATATAAGTTGATTCTTATAACAATTTGTTACCTCTCACCCTAAAAATCTACTACATAGGACAGTTTTATGTTGACGAAATGAAATAATAGTGTCCAGTGTGGGGCAAGGTATTAAAATTCTTTGAGGATGCCAGCCACAGTGGAGAGAGCTGGCTTTGAACTTTTCATAACATATTAGGTGTAAGTCATGACATTTTATTTGGTTACTAGAGGCCCAATGCATGAAATTCATGCATGGGTAGGGTCCCTAGGCCAGGCTGGCAATCAGGGCTGAACTGTGGGGTGACTGGCAGGGCAATCTGGGGGCCCCCCACTGGCACCCGCCTTGGCTGGCCTGGGGCCTGTGGGCTGGGGACAGCTCCTGCATTGAGCATTTGCCCCCTGGTGGTCAGTGTGCATCATAGTGACCAGTTGTTCTGCTGATTGGCCAATTTGCATTTTAGGCTTTTATTATATAGGATTAAAAGAAATGTCAACCCTGGAATGAAAGGCTGGAGAACCTGAGGATATCTTACCTATTTGTTGAAAAGGAAGCATTAAAAGCCTAGAGGGTGCAGATGTTCTAATGCATGGTACTTCTTTCACAGAAGAGTAAATCCCTACAAGTTCTTTATCATTTAGATTGGAACTCAGAATTTGTGTTTCTATAAAAACAGTGTAACAAAAAGGGATAGCTTCTCAAATCTGCTCACAAAAGCTTATGTAACCCAACATCAAGAGACTAAAATACTAACATAATGACTTGCTATTCTTTATGTTTCTAAATGCAAACTTGGTATTAAACTCAACAATTTAACATGATACCATTTTATTTTTTTCACATTCTCTCTCACACATTCACACTCACACACACGCACACACACACTCACTCTTACACACACACACACACACACCAACATGATACCATTTTATATTTTGCTTAGCTCATTTATCTGATGGAGGTCGGATAGCTTTCCTTCAAGTAGCAACTAAGGAATCTGGACTTCTAGCATGTGATCCAATTATCTTAACATCTCTGCTCCTAAGTATTGTTGACAGGTTAGAAATCACAGGCTGATTATCTCATGGGAAACTTTAGGGATCAAGCCTGGGAGTGACACACATTATTTCTGCCCACATTTTACTAATCACATGGCCCCAGTTTCACTGCAAGGAAGGCTGTGAACAAGTCTTCCCATGTGTCCAGGAAGAGGAAAGAGGAAGGTAGGCATCTTGCACCTCCTGTGCAGGGTTTTATGAAGATTAAATGAAATAACTGCACAGTCTGAGTTCTTGTAATGTTATGTCCTTTCCTCCCCTTGGACTCAGCCATGTACACACCTAGTGGTGGCAGGTTGCAGTGGTGATGGGTTCTGGTGCAAAGGGCTCTTAGTGAAAAGGTTTTGGTAAAGGAAATCAGGTGCAAATTCTGGTGGAGCTCAGCAGAGGTCGTGGATAGAGAATAAGAACTGTGAAGTTAGATGCTCCTGAATGGGTTCCTAGAAAGCTAGGAGGGGGGAAAGAGGTAATAGGATTTTGCCTGGGAGAAAGAGGATGGCACGTGAGGCACAGGTGGAAGGAAGCAGTGTCTAAGAAAATGTACAGGCTACTTTCGGAAAATAGTGGAATGACTAGCATCTCAGTGACCAACTCCCCCAACTACTAACGCTGCATTAAGTAATGTCAAAGGTAAGTGAAAAAGCTACTGAAGAAGAAAGTCCATTCTCTACTAAAAAAATACATAATGCTCTTAGTAGACTTAAAATATAAAATTTTTTAAAAGAAAGGATGTAAAGCAATTACTTTAAACTATTGGAGCCCAGTTTTCAGTTTCTCGAAAAATATTTACATTTAAATATAATTGAAGAATACAATATGTGAACGTGACGGGACCCAGGTTGGGGGAGAGAGACAGCCGTCAAGAATATTCTTGGTATTTTATACTTGAAATTTGCTGAGAGTAAATCTTAAATGTCATCAAACAACAACAAAAAAGTAACTATGTGAGGTGATAGTGTGTTAACTAACCTAATTGTAGTAATCCTCATGTTGTATACCTTAAACTTACACAGTGTTATTTATAAATTATATAGCAATGAGGATGGAAAGTAGTCATTTAAATATGAACTGTATTTAGATAAAGATTTTTGTTAATTTTTATAAGTCTGATTAAAGATTGGGGGTAGGTATATCCTTTTTCTTAGGTTAAAGTACTTGGGAGTAAAGCAAAATGAGACCTGCAACTTAGTTTGAAATGGTCCAGAAAAAGTTCATAAAGCAAATATAGCAAAAATCTAGGTGAAGCGTGTATGGATATACATACTCTTTGAATGTTTCTGTATTTTTCAAAATTATCGTGATAATCTGACAAATGACAATAGGATCAGAGGTTGCTAGCATGTGACCGTTACTGTGCTTGTGAAGAGAATAAAAGCAGTCACTCATTTATTCGTTGACTGTGTCACCGGATATGAAAATAGTTCTAGATGACAGTAACTGGTGTGAAGTAGCCAGCTTGGCCTGCACTAGGCACTAAAATGCAAGCTCTATGAAGCTAGGGTCAGGTCTGTTTCTTTTCACCAATATCCATCAAGCAAGCACTTAGTCCAGTGCTAAGAAATAGTAGGTGCTAAGTTTTTGTTCACTGAATGGTGAAATATGAAAATTCTATGCTTATGATAGATATTCTAACCCTTTTATATTTTCTACAGATCATTGCTTTTTGCCACTTACCACAAAAAATATGCAATTAGTATTTATGTACTTGGTACCTTTGGCAACTCCTATAGTTAATTCAATAACTCAACTTTAAAATTCAAGCCAGAACATTGTAAAGCCTTTGCTCTTCAGAGTTAAGTTACATCTAAGCCTACCTTAATATTTTTATGAAGTTATTTCTTTGAGGCTGTCTTTACTCAATATTTAAAATATAATAGCTAGATTTTATTAGATAAAAATATTTTGTGACTATTAATGACATAACCAAATGAAGGATTCTTATGAAACTTTAAGTTTAAATTACCAAAGATTTTAAGTGATTCAAATTTATTTTCTATTAAAACTAGAAGTTGCCCTAACTGGTTTGGCTCAGTGGACAGAGCGTCAGCCTGCGGACTGAAGGGTCCCAGGTTCGATTCCGGTCAAGGGCATGTACCTTGGTTGTGGGCACATCCCAGTAGGGGTGTGCAGGAGGCAGCTGATTGATGTTTCTCATTGATGTTTCTAACTAACTATCCCTCTCCCTTCCTCTCTGTAAAAAATAAATAAAATATATTAAAAAAACACACACACACAAAACTAGAAGTCATCAAAACAAACAAACAAAACAAAAACTAGAAGTAATCTATCATTCCTTTTTAGAATCAATCTTTTTTCAAACCTGAACGATAATAAAGGTAACACAGGGGCAATCTCATCAAACAGTTGGTAAGTTTTCGAGGTTGTTTTTGTCCTTGTATTAAAAATGTTAAGTTCTAGCTGCTGTGGCTGTCACTGTTGCAGAGGCCCTGGCGCAGGGCGGTAGGACTGGGACCCAGGTCCCGCCCCAGCTGTTGCTGCGAAGCCAGCCAGGAGTCCCTGGAGCGCTGCCACAGCACAGGTGAAGTGACCTGCCCCAGGTCTGGGTCCGGCCTCCTAAAAAAAAAAGTTAAGTTCTGATATCCTCCAAGATTTTTAACCACATTATGAAATTATTAGGGAGCCAATCATCATCATCAAGGGCCTTTCCAGCATTATTTAACAGCTAACATCTACCTTTATTTTGTAACTTTTCTTAGATATGGAGGAAGTATGGAAATTCTTTGTAGAGGCGATGGGGCCTAGTGACAAATAGGCTATAAGGGAGAAAAGGGAGTAAAGAAACCATTAAAAAATAAAACAAAAATGTTTTTATTGATTTTGGAGAGGGGGGGAAGAGAGGGAGAGATATATAAACATGGATAAGTGAAAAACATCAATTGGCTGCCTCCTGCATGTCCCCCACCGGAGATCGAGCCCCAAACCCTGGCATGTGCCCTGACTGGGAATCAAACCAGTCATCCTTGGGTGCATGGGACAATGCTCAACCAATTGAGCCAAAACCAACACAAACAACACAAACTTGCTTATTTTTTTAAAGCAAGTTTTAGCACTATCATTTATATTAACCTTTATAATATTTATTTATATCAATCTTAATCTGATTCTGAAACTGGTAGGCTTAACATAACCTTATTCAATGGTAGAATAAGAGGGTTGGCATATGGAAGTGGGCAATATTCTGTAGACGATGGGAATAAATTTACCTTTCTGCTCCAGTCAGTGTGATATACCGGCATGCATACTCTATTTGACTACTTAGGGTGGAGTCCAGGCTTCCTATTTACTTGTTCTTTTGACCTGGGTAAGACACTTAATTTCACTGGAACTCATCTTCCTCCAGTTTTAAAATATCACTGACTGTAAACCAAGAATTGACTGATAAGAAAATGATAAAAACCTCCAAACAATATGTTGGGACAATTTGTCAGGTCGAAACGGGTGGTATGTATTTGATATTGAGTGACATTAAAAAATAAAAACCCTAACCAATTATGTATTTTAGCAGGAACTTTAGGTAGAAAACAAAAAGCCATTGTGACTTGTATAAAATGAATGAAACTGGGAAAAGAAAAAAAATCTGTGCCAGGGGAAACTGTTACATAGTTGCCTATGAAGTAAGGAGATTCAATGAAGCTAAATCACAACAATAAGGATACCACATTGGGCATCTTAGAGATTAGGCATGAAAATTATATTAACACTACTGACCTGGTGAGTGGATTCCTGCACATTGAAACTAATTAGAAGAAATATTTTAATATTGCTATTCGCCTTTTCTCTATAATAGAAGTGTCAACCAAATTCATGATTGACAGATTGAAACATATGTGTGCAATTGGCACCAGTGAGAGCTTTATATGTATCGCACATGTGTGAATCAATGTTTATTTTTCAATTGCCAGTGTGCATCATATGTACCAGCCGGTCAGTCTATGGTCGTACAGTCGGGTCACTTAGCCTTTTATATATATACTAGAGGCCCGTTGCATGAAGAGATTGGTGCAATAGGTCTTCCTTCCCCTGGCGGCCAGCACCAGTTTTCCTCCAGCACCCGGGACCCAGGTCTTTGGTCTGGCCACAGTGAGACTTGGCTTCTCCACTGCAGCCACAGCGAGGCTTCAGTCTTCAGTCTTCAGTCTTGACTCCGGCCTGGAACCTTCAGTCTTCGCACCGTGCCTATGTATGCAAATTAACCACCATCTTTGTTGGGTTAATTTGCATAGTTGCTCTGACTGGCTGGTGGGCGTAGCAGAGTGACACCAATTTGCATGTCTCTCTTTTATTAGAGTAGATAGACACTTCCTGAAAGAAATCCAAATGGCTAGCTGATATATGAAAAGGCCTTCAATAGCATGAGTAATCAGGAATGCATGTTAAAAACACAATGTCATGGTACAACACATCCACCCGACTGTCAAAACCAAAAAGAACTGCCAATAACAAGTGTGGCTGAGGATGTGCAGCAATGGGACTCAGACATGGCTGGTGTGATTATAACACATTAGAAAGAGCTTGGCATTATTTATTCAAGTTTATGATATGCACATCCACTTCCAGGTATATACTATACAGAAACTGATATAGGCATGATAGAATACATCGGAAGAATGTTCACAGCAGCAGGTATAGCAGTTCCTTCCAAACTAGAAACAATCCAGATATCTATCAACAATAGAATGGTTAAGTAAATCATGGCATATACTACAATGGAACACTGTAATATTCAGCAATTAAAATGAACAAATTAAAGCTATATGAACAACCTAAACAACATATGGATTAAAAACAATGTTGAGCTAAAGCGGTAAGTACCAGAATAATAGATTACATATTAGGGTTTTCCATTTCATAAAGTTCAAAAGGAAGGACAAAACCAAACGATATATTGTTTAGGGATGCATGTTTGTGATAAAACAATAGAGAAAAAAGCAAGGAAATACTTATCACAGAAGATAGAATAAGGGTTACCTCTGAAAAAGAGGGGATGAGTTGTGTTCAGGAAGGTCAACAGGGGGATTTTGGGGTGCTGGCAATGTTCCAGTTCTTGATCTGGTTGGTCACATGAAGGTTTACTTTATAATTACTCATTATACGGAGTAACTGCTTTATGCATTGTAATGTATATTTCACAATAAAAAATCTAAAAGAAACCAAATACTGTAAATGGTATTTGTAGAAAGAAATTTTGCCAGATAATTTACTTAAGAAATCTTTAATAGTAAAACCACTGATGTGGGCTAATAAAACACTGATTAATTCCCCATAAGAGCTCACTTTCAAGTATAGGAGAAAAATACCCCGTTGTCATATTTTAACATAGAAAGCAGATCTCTATCAGAAACAAATTGATGGACCAGAAAACAACTGTTACCTAAAACTCCAAAGTTTTTTGAATTTTGAAAACTAGCTATTTCCTCCTCTGGATTAATCAATAAAGAAAAAAAAATAAAAGAACTAAAAAGTTGCAGACCAAGTTGGATATGTATGAACTTCCTCTTTTCCAGTCGCCAGTTCCAGCTGTTTCCTCTGGTTATCATGCTGGGTGGTGAGGTGGGTGGATCTTTTCCAGTAAGTCTAGTGCAGCTGGTTCTTTTGATGTAGGTTGTAGGTGGTGGGTGGCGGAGGGCTCTCCAGGGTGCCATTCTGTCTTCAGCACTACGGTTCTAAGATCAGGCTGCTGAAAAAGTCCACCTGGTACACACTTTCCTTGAGGTGTACTTGACTAGGTTGCACCCTTTTTATTCAAAACCCACAGAACTGCCCTGGCCGGTGTGGATCAGTTGGTTGGAGCATTGTCCAGTACACCGGAAGGTGGCAGGTTCAATTCTGGTCAGGGCACTTACCTAGATGGTGTTGGATCCAGGGTCAGGCTTAGGGCGTGTATGGGAGGCAATCGATCGATGCTTCTCTCTCTCTCTCTCTCTCTCTCTCTCGCTCTCGCTCTCGCACTCGCTCTCTCTTCTCTCTAAAACCAATGGGAGAAAAATATTATAAAAACCTCTCAGAACTAAAATCTGAGGTGCCCAGCCTCACAAAATCCCCTAAATCTGTGCATCTTATTCCTTCAATTTCCATCAGGAAATCAGGAAGACAGGGAAAACCATAAAAGATTTGTGTTGTAGTCATGTGTTTTGATGGTCTGATTCTCTGTGAGTCTGATTTGGAAGGACATAAACAACGCAGGTTATGAAAAGACAGTCAAACCCAGGGTAGCGTAAGCAGGACAGTTCCCCTGGCTCTTGGAATTTAGGCTCAAAGGCAGTTGTGCAGGTGTTACTTTGTTTCCTCTTGCTTCTGCAACACCCCTCCTGGTCCCATTACTTTTCTGCACGATTTTAATAACAACGAGCCTTGGGATTTATCCAGTTATACCTTGCTCTACTATTTGCATATGCTGGCAGCAGTAGTGGCAGAAACCCTAAGCTCCCCCAGCCTGCGGATAAAAACTTGCTCCTCATCCCCTCCCCACTTCCACGCCAGGGCCCATCGACAGAACTGTGGAATCTGCTTCCTTTCATCCTTGCTGCTGCTTTTATCTCATTCTCACTTACACTGCTCACCAGGACAGGTTCATCCTGAGGATTCTGGTCTTTGCACTTTTAACAATTTGTTTTCCTAGAGAACTACACTTTCAACTTCATGAGTTTTTTTTTTTGTTTTTTTTTACTTGAATTTACTTTCCAGGATAACTTCTGCATGAAAAGCGGCACAACAGTAACAGTATTTACTTTAGAGAGTAAATAGCCTTTGAAACGCAGGCTTGAAACACAGGCCACCGTTTCTGGGTGACGGTCACGTACACCGATTCACAACCGAGGCCAGTGCTCCCGCGCTCCAAACCACCAGCACGCGGGATCGCTAGGACCGCGGCACCATCCAATGCTCCCCCCGGGGAACCGGCACAAATCCGTCCACGGTATCCGGGAGGACGACTCCCCTTTCACTAGAAAGACTCGGGCGGTGACTCGGTGCTCCAGCCGCACCCTTCTTTCCTTGGGGGTAGGGAGGAGGGGGGAGGGGGAAGAAGGGATGCATCACACCTGCCATCGTTACAATGCTGTGTAGTTAGCAAAGCGCCAACACTCCGTCCACTCCCCTGAGCTCCGCGAGTGTTCTCGCCTTCGTTCGTTCGTTCGTTCATTCGTTCATTCATTCATTCACTCACTACACATCTACTCGGGCCGACTCCGCGTTCTCCGGCGCTGGGGCGCGCCCCACACCGCGGAAAGGGTGGGGCGCTCGCTCCCTGGAACAGGTGCAGCGCGCGGATCGGGCAGTGGGACAGCTCCTCCAAGGCCTGTTTGGGGCCCGAGGCCTCACCTTCAGCGGGCCTCCCTCCTCCGGGCTCCCCAAGGAGCAGTCACCACCTGCCCCGTAGGAAACCACTAGAGAGCCAGCCCTCTCCGCCGCCCTCGGGTCGGGGTGAGATCGGGCGGCCGCTCGGGCTCCACTCGGCTCCTCCCCTTCCTCCCTCCAGTTCTGACGCGGCCGCAGAGGCGGCGGCGGCGGCGACAAGCCCAGCGGCCCGAGGCGCACCCACCCGCACCCCAGTCCCGACTTCCTCTTCCTTCCGAGCGTCATCCGAGCGCGCCGGCATCGCCGGGGCGGGGCGGCTCGGCGCGGCGGGGAAGGGGACCCCGGACCGGCGGAGGAAGCCTCTTGCGGAGAGCGGAGGGGAGGGGCGGAGAGCGGTTGCTAGGCGACTAACGTCATCGGCGCGCGCCGCTCCCCTCCCGCCCCTCTCTCTGGAGTGAGGCGAGAGCCCCGCACAGAGCGAGCGAGACAGTGAGCTGGGCTCCGGGCGCCGCTGCCGCCGCGAGCGTGAGACCTGCGAGCATCGGAGACCCCGCCCCCGTGCGCTGGCTGCCGCCGCGACCTCCGCCCTCACCTGGGCCAGCGGGATCCGAGGCCACTGCCCCGCTCCCCCTTCACCTTCCCGGTCGGCAGCCGCGGCTGCACACGCCGGCGGAGCCCGAGCCCGATCCGGACCCGGCGGCCGGGAGGCAGGACGGAGGCTACCTCGGGCCGGGGCCGGGCAGCAGCTCCCCGGTGAGAG